CTATATCCACCCTGAAGGTTAATCTTGGACAATATCTGGTCTCTCTCTCTCTCTCTCTCTCTCTCTCTCTCTCTCTCTCTCTCTCTCTCTCTCTCTCTCTCGTTTTGTTCTTTTTTGTGGGATGATGTATTCTATTTCTATTCTGGCATTGTCGAGTTGTACTATTTTTGAGCCTCCGCTCGATCTTTTCCTGGTAAATTCTCAAAATATTTCACAGTTTGCTGGCAAGTCTCCAGGTGAGCTTTGGATCGCCCTAACGTTATGCCGTCAACAAGCGAACTCCTCAAAGTTGCCTAAAGTCGGGTGACGAGGTAAGATGTTCGGCGTGAATCCGAGGCTATCTGAATGACTCCGGAGGGTGTCACAGGTGCTCTGCAAAAACACAGGTGAGGGAGAAGGGGGCGGGGAGGGAGAAATTAAGGGAGGTTCAGGGAGGAGAGATGCAGGAAGTGATGTTGACGGTGAGCCACAGGTAAAATGGAAGCCATCATGAAGACATGGAATTATTTTAAACGTAAAAAAGGTGAAATTAAGAAAAACAAAAACAGGGACAATTGAATGTGAACAAACACAAGGAGAGGATGATAAAGTAAAATAAGGAAGAATATATTAAAAAATATATATTTAAATGAAAAATAAAAGAGATTTCGAGGTTCAGCATTACATTCATTGAACAATGCGTTAAAAAATATTTAAGGATGTTGGGGTGATGTGAACAAAAGGAGAGAGAAGAAAAAGAAAACAGCATACTTTTAGTCTGGTTTTTGCACTAAAAAAGGACAGTTCTATGTTTTCGGAATTTAAATAAATTAAATCTACATTCTCCTCTGAATGTCCCATTAAAACTCTGATATTCATGACAAAACCATTTGTGACAACATCACACCTAATGATGTCATCCGGCACGAGACTTAATGCTCTGCCTCTCTGCACTGTAGGGAGGAAAAATAAATCAATAAATCTCATACGGTTAAATACTTTTACACAGTACAGTAAATATACAATCAGTTTTCTGAGAAACAGTGCACTTTGACTTATACGTGGGGAAAAGCATCATTATTTAGTGGACGGAAAAGGTTCTGTACAGTGCAGAGAGAAAATATCTTTATGGGAATCCAACCAACTCTTGTCTTTAGCTGAGCCCCCCAAAAATAATAAAAAATCAAAAAAAGGTACACAAACCACAGCTGACCTTCACCGACATGACATATAAAATTCTTATTGGAGCTAATTAATCACCTCTGTTTTTATTGACTGACCAAATATCCTCACTGAGGAAATGATGTATGAGATGGTATGAATGAAAGAGGGAGACAGCATGGAGGGGAGCATCTATTATCAATCAGGTGTGCTACCTGGGGGCATGATTAGGCGTGACACCAGGGCTGGTTGGGTTCTCTGGAAAGTCCTGGAATAGACACGATGAAAAGAAAGATGGGTGAGGGTGACTGAAATGAAAGAAACACAATGTAAAGTTAAAAGTTTTAACTCCTGGGGAAGTAATGTGGTTAACGAGGAGTTTTCCACTTCAGTGTGAACAGAAACGTGACGCTTTTCTTCCTAATAAGCAGCGGAAGCAACAAACTATTTAATTCCTTCCAGATAAGCAATGGGGAAAATGAAAAAAAAAAAAAAAGACTTAAAACAGTGTAATTACAGATAGCTGAAGTGAAGATATGACAGAGAAATGAAATGCAAATGTTGGAATGCCTGAGGTCAAAATTCATGTTACTGTGAAAAGATAATAAAAATACAACTAATTCAAGATGAATTATATGTTGCAGTTTTTTTATGATTTCTGTAGATATCGTACCTCTCACTTAACTTGAACCAAAGTTTCAAATCTTTTTCTTTAAATAATCACATATACTGAGTACCTAAATCTGTATTTTTTGCAGAAATCAGCTTATATTGTTGCTTAAAACAGCTTCTCACAATTACAGACATGTATGACCAGATGAACCAGCGTTTCACATGGTACTACACTGAACATAAAAAATGTATATATACTGGAAGTGAGTTGAACCTTTGATATGAATGGAACAGAGGACAAACAATAACAAATTGTGTGAGAAAGCATGTGTGTTGCCCACTAAATAAATGCTGCTTTTCCCATCRATTCATTAAGAACTCCCATAAAACCAGACTTAAATGAGATCCTTCCTTAGTTCGTCGGCTCATGCTCACTGTTTATGCAGTATCTCAACTTTGCAACGAAGAATGATTGTTTTCTACAATTTCCTCTTTCCGCAGCCAATAAATTTGGAACCTGAGGGAACTGAGGCTGCAAGAGCAAAGTGCTCATGCAGACATTCAAAGAAAAACTGGAAATATTTAACCCGCATATGCATGTGGAGAACATGCAATTTCAAAACAAWAAGGTCAAAACTTGAGACCTGACAGACCACACAGGTAGCTTATAATAAATTCTTCGTTATAAAAACATCTAAACAAATTAACTGCTTCTTTTCTTATTTTTTCTGCACCATTTCTTTTCTTTTTTAAAAACAAGAGATGAATGTGATAAAACAAGAAAATGGTTTCTTCTGACGTGACACTGGGAATAACGAAACCCATAAACATGAGTTTAAAGTGCGACTGCAGTTGGTTTGTTTCCAAAAAAAATCCGAGTTCAGTTTTATTTTCTTGCTGTACTCAGATAATCAGCCACTTCGTTTTGGTTCCGAAGCGTGTGCTGAACAGACGCTGACTGCTAACATTAAGAAGGTGATTTCTGCAATAAATCATTTCTTAAAAGCCCCGTGGAAAAGTTAAATAACCATTAGGGGGAGGTGAGATGCTTCACTGTGAGCTCAAATAAAAAGCGGTGATTTAGGAACAAAATGTCTTCTGTTTCAGAAGAAAAAAAATTGGTTTTGCTGCTTTAACGATTTTAAAAACTCATAAAATGGTAATAAAGTCTTGAGATCTCTTGAACAGCTTCTTTGTTATTATTCCTCTTTCTTGTGAATCCTTTTTGTAATCTCAACAAAATATATAAAGGAGTAGAACAAAACTGCAATAACCGCTGGTGAATTTTCTTATATGATATCGGGTGACTTTAAAAAGCTTCAGGAAACAGAGTAAAGGGTGTTAGTGTGTGGGATAAACTGGAAAATAAGGCTAATAACATCTGAAAATAAAAKAAGTTCATGAGTAATGAAGAAAGTGGAGTAGGAAAGGTCAGTTCGTTAAGATTTTTCACCATATGGATTAATTTACACTGCTTTTCATAATGTAAACACAAAYATGTGTTCCCATCATCCTGTATTGAAGCATGCTTTCTTTGAACTCCACTGTCTGTCTGAGATCTAATGGGCTCATAAAATTTGGAGAGGCTTTTATTTTTCTTTCTGATGGTATTTGCAACAAAAGCATGTTGAGGTGTCAGACATCTTTATTGTTCCTGATTTAATTCCAATTGGATTCGGAGAGGATTAAAATAATAATACAAAAAGAAATAAAAAATTACCAGATTGTCACTTTGACAACGCTGCGGTCGTTTCTTGCGCAACAATTGACCCAAGACCTTATCTTTAAACACCTGAATGCAAGAAGAGATGAAAAAAAAAATGGTTAACAGATATAAATGCATTACACTCAGTGACATCCAGTAAAAAAGAAACATTCATTTTTGGCMTTTTTTTTGGTAAGATGACAAGCTGTACGCTGCGCTTTTCAACTAAATACAGTTGCTGCCACCTCACTAATGAAAATGTCACATCTTGTTTCTCTGCTTTCTGCAAACCGAAAAGGGGGGGGGGGGGTGAGTTTCAGAAGGGTTGTACTACAATGACTTAATTACACTGTGAGGTGGTTTTGTCTCAGACAATCATCATTGRCAGCACTTGAATCAGCAGAGTCGTTACTACATTTGGACTCAACCAGGGAGAAAAAATATCTCAACTTACTTCCTGTGAAAAAGCTAAAAATGCATTTCACAAAATACTGATCAGTTTAAAAATCTCTCCGTCCGTCCATCCAATAGGAATGAAGACAAAATGCCATAATGTYTCAAAATTGTCTTTGATCCAAAAGATGTTTACAGCAACTCTGTTTCTAACAGTGATTTTAGATAGCATTGTTAAACAAAAAATAATCAAACAAAATGCACAAATGCACCTTCTCACCCAGYGCTGGTGTGGAAGTGTTTAGGATTCACACACTAAAACTGAGCCGATTTCATACAAGAACTGCTTCCTTGAAACATGCTTATGCTTTGGCTGCATCTGAGTAAATCCAATTTTATAGCAAAATAAAAGGCAACCAAACATGACATTCAGAAGCCTCATCTACTATTATTAAGGCACAATTACAACAACAACAACAACAACAACAACAACAACAACAACAACAACAACAACAACAACAACAACAACAACAACAACAACAACAACAACAAAATAAAAAAACTCTGGGGTAAATTTTATTATCACAACAAGCAGTGTTGTGTAAACATAGAAGTGGTCAAAAAGACTGAGGGTTTGTTTTGATGAATAAAAAGACCAAACTTCACCTCATATAGGTAGTCGAATATTTCCAGTATTGTCAGAACACTGGCTCCAATAAACAGTCCCATCTGACCTCCAATGTCACCTACGGAGAAAGAGATTAACAGATACAGGCAGGTACAATAATTGAACAATGATGCGTGAAACCATTCCCAGTGCTGTCACATCTGATTCAGAGGAACTCGTCGCAATCAGAACAGAATTGACAAAAAAAGTACAAGCGGGTCCAAGTTTTCATCAGAACCAACCCTGCTGCCCTTGCAAGAGCATCAGATTGTGAAAGTGTTCAGCCTATCTTGCGAGTTCAAAGAGGAAACCTCAAAGCATCAGCCACGAACATGTATTTTTTTTGTGTGCCTGAGATCTGCTGAGTGCTGATACCAAAGTCATGCACGTTTTTTTTCTGCCCTGATGAAATGCAAAAATCTTACCGAGAAGCCCCGCAATTTCATATGCCTTCTTCTGCTCAATTTTCTCATAATTCAAAGCTTCAAAGAAGATGTCCAACACCAATATATTTTCTCTGCAAAGAGGACAGACAAGAGCACAGCCAGCACATGTTACTTCCCGTGACTTTTACAGAGCATCCAAAGATATTTCTCATTTTCTATCAAACTTTCTCTCATTATTGTTACATTGAAGGTGAACGATGGAGACTCAAGTCATGCTGTGTCGCTGTCTACAGAAAGAAGAGGTCATTAACTGAGTAACTAATACTTACCCGATATATTGCTCAGTTTTGTTGAATTTCTTAGCCAGATATTTAGCAGATGCCTTACTGGGGATCTTAACCATGGACAGCTCCTTGCCATAGCGAGTCATGTTGCAGGGGGTCTGACAGACACAGTAATCGTTGTCTTTCTCTACCAAAAAGTCTGTGGACGATCAAAGTCATGGTGATATTGTGATCTCTATGAAATATCAAACAAAACCTGCCTTCAGCAGCTCTCAGTTTGTGCTAAAAATATTGCTGCATAAAACAGAAATACACTCGCTGCCATCGTTCACTTTCCATGAAAGCAAATAATGACTGAAGCTGTAATGCTGCAGAGGTGGGATAAAAGGGGTGGGTGGGGGGTATACTAGTGGGATTTATTTGAAATCAGTGAAGCACAGTCACATAACAAATCTTCATAATGGATTTTTTAAACAATAACTTCATAACTTTGTTTCAGCACTATCTGATAGTGAACTAATTCCACGCTGAAGAGGATATAAGTGTTATCTAAAGCCTGAAATGTGCTTGTAGCAGAGCTGAATGTTGTTAATGAGAAAAAAATGAGACAATAATGTACATGGGCTCACCTAAAGCTGGGTCGGCACAGTCTTTGTACTGCTCAGGCGTGCAAACTGTTGAAGTCCCTGTTAGAAGTAAAATGAAGGTGATCAATACTTATATAGGAGCGACGGGAGGACACAAAATTGCCCCCCCCCCCTCCACACGCTGGGCCTGGCTGAACTCGTACCCGGCATGTGAACCATCCTGCAGTTGCAGTTCTCCAGCAGGTACCGGGTTTCACAGTCAATGCGGCACGCAGTGATGCTGTACGTGGAGAAGTAGTCAGACTCTATCGGAGTGGACTTGCAATCTCCCCAAGGCGGCGGGAGGTACTGAAGCTGAAAGGGCAAGCAGCACATGTTTTCCCCTCAGTATATCTGCTCACAGGATTACACCAAATGTAATCAAATGTAAAGCCCAGTGCAACAGAAGTAAAACTAAAAAGAAGACAACAAGCAGATACGAACACAAAACACAAAAAAATAAGAAACAGATGCTTTCAAATCAAACTGTGCACTGAGACAGAAGTCATACAACATATCCAGTCAGGACATTTCTTTTGCTCGTGTGTAGCAGCAGCAAGCAGACATCATGCAGAACATCACCGATGCAGGTCTAGTCCCTGGCATGGAGCAGAGTACCATGGGAGTAGAGGCAGGTTCGGTAATAAGAACCTTKATTTCAGACAGGACACCACAATCAATGGACAGATTTTACAACCCTGACGACAAAGGTCAGAGCAAGAAGCTGTAAACACATTTCAAAACCAAACTATTAAATTAATTCAATAGATTTTACACAATATATGTAAAACATTATCAAATAATATATTGTAAATACCTGTATAATGTATTGTATATTTCATAAAATTGGGAATGCAATTTAAAAAATCTATAWATTGTTTGTTACAAAACCACACAGTTTTACGATGGAGTATTAGGGTCACACTACATCTTTTAAAATTTTTTATTACGATTAAAACGTCATGATACAGTATTACGAGAATAAGGTCAATACATTACATGTTCATTTTCTGCTCCTGGGTTGACTCGCACCTGCCGTGGACAGCCTCTAATCTGTGTTTATGAAGTACTGTAGTTCACAATTACTTTTGGGTCACTGTTAGAGTAATATTCTTCCATCCACATTATGTGACAACTAAATCCGTCAATGCAGCATTTAATTGCAATACGGCTTCAGATTATCATATGAATCTGGCTACTGATAATAATTTGATGCTGATGTACTTGAAAGATAAAGTATTTCCTTATTTGTAAAACCAATACCAAAATTTAACTTCATAAGATCAGGGGCGGAGCAGACAGGTAGTTGGGGTGAGAAGTGCCACTCCTGGCTCCTGATTGGCCACCCCAGGTGCCAACCCCAAATAACTGACAAATTAGTGAGGATCTTGGATTCTGTATCTGCATCTAGTTTTTTTATTCTCTGATACTACTGTACAATATCCATTTTCAGTTTTTTATATTAAAAGTTGTAATAGTAATAGTATTAGCATTAGTTGTTAATCTGGGATTAGCATTGGCAGTTGGCATGTGATCAGTCTTAGCTACTCCAAAACAAATTTTATCTCAAGTCAAAATAGCTGAATTGTAGCCTTTTAAAGTTTGCTGTGGTGGCCATTAGCATTTAGAATATGGTAAAGATTGTTTTCTGCTACTTCTACACTAATTATCAGTTTTGTATGTCTAAAAATGACTGAATAATACATTGTGAATAGCATTCAGCAGGTTTTTCAGATCATTCTTAACTATGATTATTTCTTAAAATAGATGAATTAAAGTAATTTGGGATTAGCCGTGGTGACCATCTTTAATTTTCAAATCCAAAATGCTTTTCTAAATGTATCCCCTTAAAAAAATACCTTGGCCACCCCTTGAAAAAAAATCTAGCTCTGTCCCTGCACAAAATGCTAAACATTCCTCATTATAGCAGTGTTAAGTCTGCTTTAACATGTAGGAGTTCACATAATATTACAACTTTATTCTTGTAATAGTGTGACTTTATACTTGTAATGAAAAAAAAAAATCTTGTAGTGTAACCCGAATACAGTCATACAGTTTAGCCTCATGATTTTAAGAATAAAGAATTAAGTGGATGGTTCATTAGGACTGTCAAGGTCCTTACAATTATGATTAATCCACGAAAAACAAAACGAATCAGCAATTAAATCACATCTGTTTAATTTTGAAGATTTGGTTAATTTAAAATAATAGACCTGTGGAGTGATGTCATTTGTCTTGTGTGTGCGTGCCATCTATTTAGAGCTTCCTTTTTTAGCAACACAGACCTCTAAACACAAAGAATGATTTTATTGTTTTGTGTGCAGCTATTGATTTGATGACAAAGGAAAAGAAAATAATTACGCATGAATGCCTGCGAGGTCTGTTCAGGTGTTTTATTTTTATTTCTTTGCATTTACTGTAACTCCTAATTGCAATGGGAACTGACCAGCAATCAATGCTATCACCACATTAAAGTCTTGATCATATCCACCAGCTCTGCCAAAGCCAACTCTAACAATCGAACAATCATTTAGTCAATGGAGAGTGACGGAGATAGAGTGCAACTCGTTGATGGACTAGATTTAAACTGGCAAACATGATTAAGCTTTTATTGAACTCACTTTCTTTCAAACTTGCAGACTCTCATCCTTGGGTATACACGGGAGAAAAAGCCTTGCCTGGTGCAATGCATTCCAGGTTATAGACTGCAGCCAGACTCTTCATGGAAGATAAACTCTAATGAATCACACTGTCTGGTCCTTTCATAACTCAAGGCTTCAATGGATTGCTCCACTGAGACATAAAACCAAACGCAAACAAAAGATGCTTACATAGAAACAAACAAATAAAACCAAACAAAAGCTTTGTTGAGGGTTGAGACTTGGATAAATTGCTTAAAGGAACGAAAAATATCAGCTGCTTGTCACCAATTAACAACATGAAGAAGACAACAACAACAAGGACACACTGYAGCCACACAAAGGAGTGAAGGACCAGCAGTTGGCAGTGAGAAACTAAATGAGAGTGTAGCGTTTTAACAGGACAATATTTGTAGCATGCAGCAAGCTCAGTCACACATACGCTACCCTCTGCTCTTGGGTGGAAACGAATGTTTGGAAACCGGGGGCGACCCCGAAGCCCAGCTCATGGAGGAAAGGAGGCTCTGWCTGAGAATGAAGCTGTACCTTTATGCCGGCCTCATACGACGTCTCATCTAGGGGGGGTGAGGGGGTGAGCCCACATCATTATCAAAATAAAAAGATATGCAACAATGAGATCAGGAAAATGATGTGTTTACAATAAAWCCAAGTGACTCCCCGTGATAACGTTGCAGGATTGGAAGTTCATCCTTCAGCCACAAAGCTTTAGGCCCACGGGTGACTTCCGTCTGGCCCGCCTAAGGAGCCCCGCAAACTCTCTTACTTTTACTTATTAGTATTTCTGCATTATTTATTWCACATTTAGTCAGTCGTACAGTAKTACTTTGCAGTGTTTAGAAGAGGACATGTTAAATTRTTGATTCTATGCAGGAAAAACCACGTAGAGCTCAGTTAAAGAGTTTGTTTTGCTCAGCTGTAGCAATAAGACAAGTAACATCACGTTTCGTGTTTAGTCAAAGTTAAACATGAAACATTAGTTACAAATGACCCTTTGAGGGCCACCATAATGCTCATGTGGTCCTTGATAAAAATCAGTTTGACACCCTTGCTTAAAGCAAACCTTTAGCCTTTAAAAATCACTCACATTTGCTTCTACTTCTGCTGTCAGGGAGAAATTTTGTAATGTGATTAGTAAACCTGAGTCACCTTTTACAGACGGATGAATGATCTGTCCAACCTGAAAACTAAAAACATTCATAAAAAAGAAACCTCTTTTGTTGGTTCTTAATCAGGTTCCCCGAGACTTAATGAGCCATTGTTTTGTGGTGTCCACGTGTCTGTTTCATAAGACCAGAAATATACCTCRGTCATCCCATGCTAATGTGCTCAAACAAGCCACATTTTACATCATTTAGTTCATGCTGATGAAGCGACCAGGTTGATTACCATTTAGAGCAAAACCATTTAAATCTAGCTCCATTAATTGCTAAAGTGAGTTAATTTGATTTACAGCTCTCGTATTCATGACTTCACAAGAACAGATTGTGTGGTTGAGATTTTAATGAGTCTGCAGCGCAATTAAAAAAATGCACTTGAACATAATGCGTATTCATTTTAATAATTGCAAAACCTAAAATCTGATGCAGCACAGCTCCTGTTCTTCACACGGGGCRTTTGTTTCTTCTGTCCCTGGATTTGACTGAAAAGTCAATGATTATTGTTTGTCTTGTGGGCTACTCTGGTGTGAACAAAAAAGACTTGATCTGAATCTGCTCGCCCGGCAACGTCACACAAGAGCTCCACAGTGTCGTTAGATTTCAATAGGAAATCCATCTGAGCTCACTCTTATGGCTTTCCATGAGGACTTTCTGATCAATTCGAGCTCTACTACAGTTATTACTTTTCATCCTTCTCTGAGGGTGGGGAAGCCACAGTTAGGGCTGCAAACTTTCAACATTCAACAAACTTGCCACAGGCTTTTCTTCTTCCAGTGAAATTGTGCCCTTAAATCATGGTCTACTTTTATAACTGAACAAAAAATAAATAAATAAATAAAAAATAAAAAGCCCCAGGCCATTGCTCTAATCTAAAGGTGCAGCTTCTAAAAGCTGCTGGAGCTGGAAAAGCTGGCACAACAGAAGCTGGTACTTCTTTTTTTATGCTTTCTCAGAAAATCTAATTTAATTTGATTGCTAAAAAGCAGTGTATTTAGGCTGATTATAGCTGCAGATACTTAATCACAAGATATATTTAATTGTATATTTTAATAAACATTTTAAAAATATTTTCAGAGTTATGGTGTTAATGGCTAAAGTTGAATTTTTGAGTGAATTCAGATCGAATAAAGCAGTAGAGACAATTTTCATAKACTTCAAAAAGCTGATTTATACTTTAGCTACACTAAAAGGAGGGAGAACTCAGTCTGAGATGCCAAATATTTCTGCAGGCTGTCAAGTCTAAAATGTGCTTGGTTTTGAGAGGCGCAGCATGCTTACATGCTAGCATTCAACCATTACTCAGCCCTGGTCTGTCAATATTCCACTGCTGCTATAATTCCTCCGTTTCATTTAGTGAATACCAATCAACTCCCGTTTTCCCCTCACGGGGACATCTGTGATCGGATTTTGCTCCACGCTCCGTGAGACAGAGATAGGTAATGGATGCTGTGTTGCAGGGATTTTTGGGACAAACACTGAATGAAAGCGAAGCGAGAAAGCGGTCAACGTGGAAGGCCGATCGTTAGGTACCAGTTGCTGCTGACATGACACAAAAGTTTGAAAACCAGGGGCCACACCAAATCCCAGCTGGTCAATGAAGGGGGGCTCGTCCTGGCTGTGGATCTGAACCTTGATGCCCGCTTCGTAGGACGTCTCATCTGTGGATACAGCACGCCAGAACATATAATAACAAGTGTGGTCAAGTTCTGGTCTGCRATTTTTCTTATGTGGTCTAATGTTACTGGAGGGGATATGGTTTCCTTGTTTGGGGTGTGGCCTACTTCACTTGCTCTCTCTCCTGYKAAAAAGAACTTAATAGCATTGGAAAACTCTCCTGGTTAGGAGGTTAATCACTTTTGATTGCAAGACTCTGTTTACTTMAACAAGATGGGTTAGAAAGGTCCTGTATGGTTTGGTTAGTAAGGCTGTATCATTTCAAAAAGTCCAAAATACATGTACATCTGTATGTATTAGTAAAAAAGAATGTGAAAAAAAGTGTTGTCTTCTGAACCAAGCCACTCTTTAAGGATTTTTACAGTTCCCAGTTGTTTATGAACAAGGTGTTTTATTGTGAAAGGTGATATAATGGAGGTGTTGGTGTTTGGGTTCATTCTAAACAGRTTTACAACCCAAGATTTATTGCATGTTGTTTAGTTTATGATTGTACGGCCTGTGGATGTTATTGCACATTGTAAACAAGAATCAATTAGTGAGTCAGAGCGATTTATTAGATCTGATGTCAGTGGAATACCTAGAGAAACAAATCCTAATATGCTCAAACAAAGACCTTTTTTTAAATTTATTTTTGATATGTTATCCAGAGAAACAACATGATAGAGATATTTCCATTAAAGGATTATACGGGGTAAATTAAAACTGGTAAGATAAGACACGATTTTAATTTGCACTGACCTGTTTCTCCCCAAACCGGCAGATATTCATCCTGCTGGATGTCCAACATGATTTCCAAGCCGTTGCCTGTGCCACCTTTTAACGTCGTCAACAAAGGGTTGCCATCTAATCCCGAGTTGAAAGTGTAGCATTTCCCATAACGTGTGTAAATCTGCAAATAGAACAGACACAAACAAATGTAAAAAAATAAAATAAAATAAAAAATGTGCAATTAAAAACGTTGTACACAGAGCTGTGGCCAGCTGTGCGCAGATGTTTTACATGTCATGGCGTAATTGTGCAGAACAGGTAATAGCTGCCGAAGTTTCCTGATGATCAGAGAAAGGAGCACTGGCTCTGAACATGCACCTGGCTTTGATTGGACGATTTAATGAGGGCACCTCAGCAGCAGCCGCACCACCAGCCATCAATCTTTATCTAATTTCACTCCAAACATCCCCTGAGTGATTTAGAGTGAATGTTCTATTTTGCCATCAATTAATAAAGTTCTGAGTGAAAAGCTCTCTGGTCACAGTTAAAAACTCTGAGCTGGAACTGAATCAATGCCAGTACAGCTCAACAGTTCCTAATGTTTAATGTGTTCCACTGCAAACTGCCGTTCAAAAAAAAGTGCAGATTTATGTTATTAATCCAATTTGCTGAACTGTAACTTTTGCCTCGGTTTTCAAAGGTGACATATCGTGTTTTCAGCTTTCAAACTTGCCGTTTCATCCACACAAGCTGAACCCACGCTGGTGTTTGATTAAAAAGGCTTGGAATTTTCAACAGCGCTGAGAGTCTGAGTGTAAAATTATCAGTTTGAGATTTGATCTGAGCGTGAAGCGAGCTAGATTTGTAACACRATGCAAAAGCAAACGGCGGTGTGAAGCACTACTGTAAACCACAGCTATTTTTGTTTTTCATTATTTGCATAATTATGTAGCAATGTGCTGGTTTTGTTCACAGCCAACAAAGACATTAAAATGGAAGAAATATACAGTATATGGCACTATTTTTAAGATGGCATGCCACAATTGGCCCATTTGTGTTTTGGTTTATATGGTGCCGGCCCATGCAGGGACCACCTCTGGCAAACTACATCTGGGCTGCAAAAGGGTCATGCTTTGCTGTATCTGGACCGAGTGTTAAATGAGACATATTCAAATCCTTCTTTTTCACATTTAAATCATTCAGTTCTGGTCTATATAAAGTGGAACTGCAATGCTTTGGTCTGAATTCCTCCTTATTGTAACTCCACAAGCCCCTCTTTCACCCCTTTTCTGAGGCGTGTCTCAGATCAACTCGTTTTGATACTGTCTCTTTAAATACAAACGAGGAGCTTCACAACTCGCTCCCCTCCAAGCTTGAAACTGTTTATTTACAAATTAATAAAAGTATGTCAACAACAAAAGACGTTCATCCAGCCTATCATGTTGGAGCCAGACTCTCTTAGTGAGAGGAGAATGAAGACGACCAAATTGTAGTTGGTAAGCCCTGATCTTATTTGGTAATCCTGTCACAAATACTGTGATGTAATAGTTTGGAAAAAACATCATAAAGAATTGAGAAAATTGAACGGGTTGAAAAGTATGACCCAAAAAGAATATAAAGATATCTATGCAACATCGGGAGAGACTAAATTAAACTTTTCTGCACTACTAAAACCCCAAGAACAAAACAGAATGCATTTAATGTCTAAAAAAAGTGGATTTTGCATATGTTCTTTTTTAAGAGTGTCAGTGCATTGTGAAGACCAGGGGTCAGATTTATAAAACTGGCGTACGCACAATTTGAGCTCAGAAACTTGTGTACGCCACTTTTCACGTCAAGGTTGTGATTTATAAAATCCAAACTTGATGTGAAAATGTGCGGTGCCTCACGCCAGCTTTGACCCATGTGTACGCTCATTTTGGAGACGTGAAACTGCGACACAGATGGTGAAGTGAGGAATTAGAGCCACACTGTGTAATGATCACTGTCAGAGATTTAATTTACCTTCATAATCAGACTTAGATTTTTATTCAACTTTATCATCAGCTTTCTTAACAGTAATATTTATGCTTCTGCTGCTGAGCCACGAGGACCTTTGAAATAAAAAAAAATTAAATCTTAAATAAAAGTTCACGTGCGCAACTCCATTCATCTCCTTCCTCCTCAGACGACCCTGACCCACAGACCCCTCCCTGACCCACAGACCCCTCCCCAATAAGAACAGCAGGACAGCAAAAGTCAAGCTTTGGATACACACGCTGGGCGCATCCACCTCGCCTTCATGTTTAAAGTCCATATTTGTCACGCGCGTGCGGGGATTGGGTGGGTGCGTGCATGCGTGTGTGTGTGTGTGTGCGTGCGCGGGGTGGAGGTGTCTGCTGCGGATAACAGAGCAGGCAGGAGAGGGAGAGGATGAGGAGAAGAGCGGTGGACTTATTTCTAATTTTATCTGACATTTAATTTAATTTTTATTGTTTTTATCATCCTGCAGTCTCTGGGAGAAAATTAATTTGAAGCTGAAATCTTTTTTTTATAAAAATCGTTAGATTACTCTAAAGCAAAATGAGGGAAAATCTGTGTCAATTACAGACATTCTGTTCATGTGAGCAGCTGTCAGTCAGCACCTGTCAACCTCCAGACGCACGACAGAGCGTGTCTGAACCAATCACTTTTGTTAGCATTGATCAGCTGACTGATTTAAATACATCTTAACATTCATGAGATACTTTGCATTGACTGTTTATGGTTGAATGTGGGCGTGTAGAGGGTAGAACCTGAAGCGGGACCTCGTGCGCAAACTCTGATGTGCGGCTGTGATTTATAAAGGAAAGATGCGCAGAAACATGTGTACGCACGGTTTTATAAATCTGAAATATTTTTTTTTGGCGTACGCCATTTCCGCCTTTTGGCCGTACGTTCACTTTTAGTAAGGTGTCCACGCAATTCTTTATAAATGAGACCCCAGAACTGGGCCAGACAAATTTTGCTATGTGGAATGRATGTAAATCCTACAAGTGTAAAAATGGCCCAACATTCCAACTTCTTGGGATTTTAAACACTTTTGCAAAAAAAGTTTAAAGAGCTCCATTTCATGCACAAAGTTGGGCTGTAGTAAAGCGGCTGTCAAAATTATAGCCCAATTAGCCAGCCTGAGTCATTATGTCTACTTAATGATCCCAGCTGTCCAAATATTTTACCCAACAACATATCATACCACAAGGAGCTGAAACAATGTTCTTTTTTATTTCTTTCTGTGTTTAGCCAATTTCTAAAAACCATAAAAAGGCATAGCAAGTTTACATCACGATCCACTGGGCTGTGTTAAAAACATTTGTTGGCAAAATCTCAACGAGCTGAGGCAAAGTTGATCTCTGGAGATCAGAGTCAGTGTTTCATATCCAGACTCCGATGCTGTTAGACACAGTTTTATGTCTTTTACCCCTGCTGGTTGCATAATGAGGTCTCCAAAGTGAATTGAAACTGTCTAACTGGCGACTGGTTTAAAAAATTTAGATGGAAACTTAAACAAAATAAGAGAAACAGGCAGTCACACTTCAGCAGCACCATGAGAGGCTTCAGATACATGCACAGCTTGACTCGAAAAACATGACCATCTCCTGCTGACTTCTTGGCCAAGAAGACAGATTTTTAATATTGCATGTTCTCGACACTGGATTTAAAAAGAAGAATAAAACCGTGAAGCCATTATGAGCATCTAAACTCTTGCAAATACTTCACTTTTGCTTATGCCTGTATCAATTCTTGCTTATTTTTATAATCAAAATCTTGCACATTTGATATCAGTTGTAAACTTTAATTTATGAGTCAATGCATCAAAATAAACAAATTTAAAAGGTGAAAGATAATACTCGATATTTATGCATGAGCATTCCTCATTGGAAAGTTCTTCCTTTTACTTCTATTAGTATTTCTGTATTATTCATTTCACATTTAGTCAATTGTACACATAGTGTCTTTCAGCGTTAAAGGACGTGTTAAAACGCTGTTTCTATGCACAAAATACCACATAGATCTCAGTTATTATTTTCACACAAGCATAGCAATGAGATTAGGAAYGTAACATTTTGTGTTTAGTTGAAGTTACCCACGAAACATCGAAGTTAATGACAACTGGCCCTTTGAGGGCCACCATAACGCTCATGTATAGCCCCTCTGTGATGAGTTTGACACCCCTGGTTTAAACACTTCTCAGTCAATCTGCATTCCCAGTGTAATTTTTTCACTATTTATTCTGCAAGTGTTTTGCATATCATAAGCCACCTAATATTTATTTTCACAGATATTAACATCTAATAGAGCAGGGCTGTGTTTTACTTCCACTTTCCCCATTTCATTTACTCAGAAATGAATGTCTGAAACAGCTTTGGAGCTTTAAATGGAAAAAGTGCAACTTCCTCATGCCCCGCAGATGTTTAATTAGAAAAGCTAAAATTTTAATTTGGACTGATCTATGATGTCTGAATTATTAATGCCCAGACTTTTCCTCCTTGATATTGTTACCGATGTACTTTTGCACTGCAAGAATTCATCAGTGAGCACAACTAAATAAATAAAGCAGTGTTTGAAAAAAGTTGTCACTGATGTCATACAATAGACATAGTGACAATAATGTATTTATTTTATTGTTTTTTTAGAGGATGTCAGGTTTAATGAGCAGGAAACTGTCGTATCTGAGCTGCGAGAAAACAGGACCAGCTTGTCTGCAGCTCCTAAACATCAACACCTCGCAACAGCCTGAGGAAAATCTTGCTGTAAAGGAGCTGTATCAGATGAATTATTAATACGCTTTGTTAACAAACACCTGACAAACACCATCTTTCTTTGCTCTCTACATACAGTGCTGAAGTTTTTGTGGGTGCAGTCCTCCCCGCGAAACTTGCACTGCAGCAACATGTCTTCCAGCTGGTGGCCGAGGCGATCCATCATCTCTGTGGTATTGACGTGATGATCAGGGGCCGGGGTGTAGTTCTGGAAGTCCAGCAGTCTCAGGAGAGCCGGTTTGTGGCTGTCTTTAAGGATGGACAAGCTCTTCTTTATCACTGTGTGATTTGGATACATGAGGTCCATCCAGTAGCCACTGTGGTACAGGTCATCCTTGGTCAGGCTGGATGCACGAAACACATTCTTATTGCAGAAAGTCACCGCCGGGAAGGACATGTT